GAGAATTACACACTGAGCTCACTATCTCATCAATTAATTGCCAATGTTGGCCACGATATCTCTCTGGACTCAGACAACTTTTAATCAGTCTCGATAACACACACTCTATCTGCCCAGGTTTTTCGGCATTCACTGACAATTCATTCATCGTCAAATTTCCCCCAATTCAAGTTGTGTTTCCCCGAAAATTAGTGAAATGTTGTCTTCCAACTTCTGTGTCCTCCTCATCCTCGTCGTCACCCTTCAAAATGGTTCGTATTCGGCGCCTTTCAAGGAGCAAACTGTCAATAGAGAGACAAATATGGTGTTACTGAGGAGCAATAGATATTCAGTCTCCATTGGGAGAGCGAACAAGAAGAGTGATGATAAGCTGAGCATGACTAAAGTTCTGGAATTCTCTGTTCAACCAACTGAGTTCGTGCTTGTGTTGCAAAGCCAAAAGGATAATGACTGAAGGAGGAGTGAAAGAATGATTTAATAATCTTTTAAACCTTTCTCCATGGCAAAAACATCCAAAATATTGAGCAAATTGACATAATTCCCACTAAAACTAAGGAATGTTAAACATCAAAACATGTAAATAAGAAAAAACAGCCCTTTATAATCTCACTGAAACAATTTTAGGGAGTTTAAAGCGATTGAACATTGTGTAAGAGAAGAAAAGTGGTGAAATTTGCCAAAAAAAACCTTTGGAGATTGTTTTAAAATAACACATTCAGGCGGTATAAATTGGCTTAACATGTGTAAGCTAGAATTACACATTTGTGCTGAATTTTTTAATACAATTGGAAAGTTTTAAGTCTATCATGTGTGACTCAAAATAACAAAGACTGTTTGAAACTCATATCACTGCAAATTGTACTAAAATCGAACATAACCTCAAAAAAAGACATTTGGACTTGGAAAACTTGGATTTTGACTCTGAATCAGCAATTTTGAGGATATTGGCAAATCCTAAAAGACGATTTTATCATCTAGAAAGCTTTCAATTGAAGTCTTTTAAGATCTCTTAGTTATATTTTTGAGGTTATGATCGGAAAAGACGCTGAAAAAAGCAGTTTTAAGTGGATTTTTACAGAAATATCGCATGAAAATTCAAGAACTTCGTTATAATTTGAAAATTAGTGTCCAAACAGTAAAAAAATTTTAAGTGCCGGAAGTAATTTACAGATTAAGAGCGTATTTTCTCCCCCTTGACTCATATAACACATTTTTAACATTCCTTGTTTGAGTGGAAATTGAGTCGCCAACAACTCAATCGTGGTGAAAATAACTTCTCTAAATATCTGCTAAATTCACAACAAACAGCTGACTTGAGCAAACTCTGTGCATCACAGAATCAGTGTGAGCACGTCAAAATCCGCTTTAAGCAGCAACTTTATCGTCAAAAGTCTTCACTCTCACAAAAGCGAATCCCATTGCAATTGGTTTCATGGCGAAAGAAGTTCATGTGCACATGTTGGTCGGGTGTTTGCTCCTTGAAAGTGAGACGTGTGTCCTGGCGCAGTATTTACGCCCGTCCGTCCGCAGTGTGGTCCTCGGACACGCCGCCGGACACAAGAATAGTGGGCGGTCGACCTGTGCAGCGCGAGGGTCTGAGGCAGCAGGCGTCGATTCGCTTCAAGAGTTCCGACTCAACTTTCGGCAATGGTCACGTCTGCGGAGGAAATCTCATATCCAACAACAGCATTCTCACGGCGGCGCATTGTTTTGTTGATAATCTGTGAGTTGGCCCGCCAAACTTTCCAATACATCCCTCTGTGCTTTATTACTTTAACTCAAACCCCACACTTTTCCGGGGGTGAACTCTCTGTCCCTCTGGGGATCACCGCAGAGGACGAAGAATCAGTGTGTCGGACATTCGTGTTGTCGGCGGCAATTTACTGCTCACGGAACAAACACCCAACACGTTCATTTCCGATGTGGCGAGATTAGTTATTCATCCCAACTACAATCGGGAGACAAACGACAACGACATCGCCATCTTAATCGTACGTAATTAGTTGCGGAGCGCGCCGACAGGATGCGATATTGCTCAATTAACCCATGTGTCTTCCGATGCCACAGCTGAAGAATATAGTGCCGGCCAGCCACTCCAGCTTCCGCCCCATCACGCTGCGCTCCGTGCCGGTGGACAGCAACACGACGTGCGAGATCGCGGGCTGGGGCGCCACGGCCTCCGGCGGCCCCGGCTCCAACGCCCTGCTGGCGGCCAACGTGTCCATCGTGGACTTCGGCGTGTGCAACGGCGTGTACATGCACACGCTGACCAGCGGCATGCTGTGCGCCGGCCGCATGGAGGGCGGCGTGGACTCGTGTCAAGTACAGGCAATGCCCGCAATCCGCAGGTGTCAGTAGAAAGTAATCTCTCGCTGTCTCTCCCCGAAGGGCGACTCGGGCGGGCCGCTGGTCTGCAACGGCCTCCTCACCGGCATCACGTCCTTCGGCATCGGCTGCGGCGAGCCCGGCATCCCCGGCGTGTACGCCGCCGTGCACTCGTACTACAGGTGGATCATGGCCAACGCCGCGCCCGCGTCCGCCATCAATTCCCTCTTCCTGTCCATTTGTCTCCTGCTCGCCGCCACGAACGTCGCAAGCCATTTCCAGCTGTAATTGCGCCATTTATTAGCTGGGCGAATTGAGCGAAATCAATTAATAAATTATATATTAAACGTGATTCTCCGCCGCAGCTTCTCTCTGCGCCCTGGAAACCGCCAGATTTTAGAGATGATTTGCAGTACCCAAGAAACTGGGTCACACCAAGGGGGAGATAATGGCGGAAGAAGTGGTGTACTCCTTAATTGAAGTAATAGAAATAGAAAAGGTCTTCACAAGCTTTTTATTCTTTCTTTCCTGGGTGTTTCTTGTAGTGACAAATTGTCCTAATTATTGATTTCTACTTAGAAACCATTATTTTATAGGTTATGTAACGAATCAAGAACAGATTTAGTGAATAATTTACATTCTAGAACGTCAATTCTTATGCTCAAGTCGGATTACTTGCAAAAAACATCCTTTTCTGAACTTTTGATACCCAAGAAACACTGAAAATTGTGCTAAAGTCAAACATAACCTCAAAAATATTGATATTAAAAACTTTCTGGACAATTTTGACTTTGAAACAGCAATTCAGAGTTAAACTGCAAATCATAACAGATGATTTTGTGATCTAGAAAGCTTGTAAACTGAGTTTTTGAGGATCTCTTAGTGATATTTTTAGGTTATGATCGGAAAAGATGCTCAAAATGGCGGTTTTAAAGGGATTCTTGCAGAAATATCGTTTGGAAGAGTGTATAAACTGTGTAAATGGTTTAAAAACTTCAAACTCTAGGAGTGTTCGGATGTGTTGCACAGATTGAAGGCACATTTTCTCCCCCTTGAGTCACTCGCCTCGTAATATCCAATTTATCACATTTACACAGACTCCGAGATATATACTGTACATCGGCGAGGCATTACTGAGACATTATGGGAAAATCTGCAGCAGATTGTGGTTTTGCGGTTAATTTGCAAGATACAGAAATGTTATAATATTCAATATGTGACTTATCTTATGCGCTTCACTGCTTCTCTTATAGCATTTAACTTCAAGAAATAATGGCTCAGTCATACATGAAGATATGGAAGTTTAATTTCTTACTCCAAATTATTCATGAATCATTTTCATCGAGTCTAGAAAAGACGCAGCATGTTGAAAAAGAAGAAAAAATGTGTCAAGTTCAAGTGCGAATGGTTTTTCGAGGAAAAGGAATTCATCAAAATTTCTCTATCGCCGAAAAAGATAAGGAACTTTTCTGGTATAAAACATCTTCTATTGCGATGCTTCTTTACTCAAAAATCATCTCTTAATCGCATATTTAGACACAAGACTCTGCGAAAGCAAATTCTTTATCATTTCCGCATGAAATGTAAAGAATTTAACGTAGAATGTGTGTATTTTTCTCATAAAGAAACAAGGTTAAAACAATTTCTCCAGCTCAAGTTCCGTCTCTCTTCAGTTTGTTCACTCAGCACACTCGACAAACACGAGATTAACCATTATTTGACAGTACATTCTGGGGTGTATTTTTCGGCGTAATCTTATCAATCGAGATTGCAGCGCGCGAAATGTGAGCCAAGTGCTGAAATAAGACACTCAACAGCTTCGCCCACCGCAAAACCCTGTCCAATGATTCAATCAACATCGCAACATCATTGAGCGATTGAGCATATTTGCCCCCACCTTCGCTTCCTTGTGCATTGCCGGCCACTTCAGCTGAAGCACTTTTGGGGCTTCCGCCGGCGAAGAGTTCTCATTACAGCTGAAGTGAGAATTGTAATTTCACCTGAACACAATTCCTGAGCGAGTGCATGTATTTTTAACACGACTGCGAAGCCAAGTTGTGGTCTCTTCAATATTTAATTGTTAATCTTGCACACTTCACTAGGTATGCTCGCAAAACTATGGAACTCTGGCGCGCTTTTGGACAGTGTTGTTCAATGAAAGAAGCTTCCAATTGAGATCTCTTAAAGATTATAGTCAGGAAAGTTGCACAAAAACACAATTAGAGGAAGAAAACTCACAAAATATTGTCTAAAAACAGTTTGAGTTAGATTTTAGTCAGATTTCAGTCAGATTTCAGTAGGATTATGGTTATTTTTAAGTTAATAACCCAAAATTATCCGCTTTTTTGGCAAAATATCCTTGATTTAATCCTCATGATTTGCTTTAAGTTTATAGACTTTACACGAATTGAAGATGTGGTCAGAAAATGGTCAGAAAGAGGTCAATTTCAGCCATATTCTGTGCCTCTTGAATTGAAATACCAAAAAAGGGTTTCCTCAATAGAGAGAAAGTCAAAATTGAAGCATTTCGCACACTTCCACACTGTGCAAAACTCTTTGCTGCTCACAACAGCCCCACTTTCCCGTAAGCTGGGAAAATTTATGTGCTGTTCTTGAGGGAGAAGCACTTCTGCCTTGTCTCACTGTCGTGTCGTTCAGTGTCGGTTTCACCATTGAGTGCAAGAGTACGTGAAGTTGATTTGTGCCGGGAAATGACGCGGATTTCGGATGTGGCGCTCGTGCAGATGGAGAGGCCAATTGATGGGCCCATCAACGGCCAAGTGACCACCCAGCTGAGGAGCTACAGCAAGTGGGCGCCGTGCGAGCAGGGCGTGACGATGGTGTGGCGCGATCTGAGTATTTATGCTCTGGGCGCCGGTCGCCGAGGCGGTCTCAAGCGCATCATCAATAACGTGACGGGAGTGGTGAGATCGGGCACTCTCATGGCCCTGATGGGGTCCAGTGGGGCTGGCAAGAGCACTCTCATGTCGGCGTTGGCGTTCAGAGAGCCCCGCGGGACCATCGTTCAGGGCGATGTGCTGGTCAATGGGCGGCCAATTGGGCCATTCATGCACACCATGAGCGGCTTCGTGCACCAGGAGGACCTCTTTGTGGGCACTCTCACCGTCCTGGAGCACCTCACCTTCATGGTGAACCTCAAAGTCGACCGTCGCATGTCCAGAGCCGACAAGAGCGCACTGATTGACGATCTGCTGCAGCGCTCTGGACTCACGGCGTGCGTGAACACAAGGATTGGCCACGCCGGCGACGGGAAGGTGCTGTCCGGGGGCGAGAAGAAGCGCCTCGCCTTCGCCACCGAGCTCATCACGAAGCCCGCCATTCTGTTCTGCGACGAGCCCACGACCGGCCTGGACTCCTTCTCGGCGCGCTACATCGTGCGCACGCTGCAGGAGCTCGCGCGCCGCGGCACCGCCATCATCTGCACAATCCACCAGCCCTCCAGCGAGCTCTTCGCCATGTTCCACGAGGTGCTGCTGCTGGCCGACGGCCGCGTGGCCTTCATGGGCGCGCCCGCGGACGCGCTGGCCTTCTTCGCCGAGCACGGCCACCAGTGTCCGGCGGCGTACAACCCGGCGGACTTCATGATCGGCCTCCTGGCCATGTATCCGGGCGACGAGAACAGCTCCCGACGCACTGCCCATCGCATTTGCGACCTGTTCGCCGTGAGCGCGCTGGCGGAGCGCCGCGATGTGCTGGTGAACCTCGAGTTCCACATGGCGGAGAAGGCGGAATTTGACATTGAGGGACACCACGGGAGAAGAATGCGCAATCTGCGGTGGTATAAGAAGATTTATTGGCTCGTTTATCGTGCTTTCCTGTCGGTGACACGCGATTCGAGCATTCAAACACTGAGGATTGTACAAAAAATCGTAATAACAGCCACACATATACAATTTCCACCCTCCCCATTCCCACCTTTTTGCTTTTGCCACCCCCCAAAATTGCTGTGCAGCGCGGCAAATTTAATTTATTTTCAATTTCAATTCTTCTCTCTCTCCTCAACGACATTAGGGCATCGCCGTAACGGCGGGATTGTGCTTTATTGGTGCTGTGGATAGAACACAGAAGGGCATCCAGGCGATGCAGGGTGCAATTTTCATTTGTGTCTCAGAGAACACCTTCGTGCCCATGTACTCCGTCCTCAACACGTTCCCGCAGGAGTTCCCGCTGCTGCTCAGGGAGAAGAAGTCCGGCCTCTACACCACCGCCCAGTACTACATCGCCCATGTGCTGGCCATGATGCCCGGCCTCGTGCTGGAGCCGCTCGTGTTCATGTGCATCGGCTACTGGCTCATGGGGCTGCGCCAGACGCTCTACGCCTTCGCCGTCACCGTCCTGTCCGCCGTCATGGTGATGAACGCCTCCACGGCGTGCGGCTACTTCTTCTCCGCCGCCTTCAACTCCGTGCCGCGCGCCCTGGCCTACCTGGTGCCCTTCGACAACACGCTCATGATCACCTCGGGCATCTTCATTCAGCTGGACTCGCTGCCGGACTTCCTGGCGTGGACCAAGAGCCTGTCCTGGATGATGTACTCCATGGAGACAATGATGATTGTGCAGTGGGAGAATGTCCGGAACATAAGTAATCACGTCTTCCACACTCTTGGCGAATCACTTGGCGGAAATTGCTCACTTCAACGCCAAATGCTGACAATTGACAGCAGAAAAGCCAAAAACTTTGCTCCATTCCGCTAATTTCTCAGCAATTCCAACAATCTGTTAAACGATAGTCTCAGAAATGTTCCCAACGAAATCTTCCAGCGAACACAAAATGCTAAGAGCGATTAAAGACTTGCCGCTTATCCTCGAATCGGCGCGAACTCGGATCAATCCTCCGTGGATGAGTCTGTAGTGTATAAAGGTCACATCAGCGATAAGTAGTGGTTGATCTGCTCCTTTACACACTCAAATAATGATCAAACATAATTCGTGGCTAAACTGGCGCTAAACACACTCAGAGATTATTCCTCTTTGTCGCCACTAGCGACACTGTGCTTGGTGTGTTCAGCTGTCAGTTGATTTGTATACTTCAAAAGCGTGAAATCTTACGTTAAAACTTGCGAAAATCGATGATTCGCAGAAGAATTTAATGATTTTTAATAATCCAGGAAATTATTCGCAAGAGATCCGACATTTTGTCTTTCCTGAGTCGTGCAATTTTTCGGCGCATTTTCGCACAAGCGCGCTGCCGTCGGGAACCCCAAAAAATCGGCTGAATCTTCGATATATCGAAGGATAAGTCGTGTTTTATGACTCAACCAGCTGTCAGTCGTTCAGACTCTCGCTTATCCTCCCGTGGATAATCTGTTGTAATCGCTTTTAGCACTTTTTATTGAAATAACACTTTTTAGTTGAATTAAACTGCTTTTTTAGCTATTTTGACTCGCAAAACTTGGCGGATTTTTAACGGAAGATTTTCGTATTATAATTCCAGTCATTTTTGCTAAGAATTCAGCAGAAGAAAGCAATTATTTTAGATAAATATTCAGCAAAAAGCTGAAAGAGCCGGAAAATGTCTGAGACAACTGTCTCTAACACTTCTAAGTGAATATTTTAGCTCGTCTAACTTGTTGGGCAGTGCAAAAGCCGCACTCAATGAAGCATTGTGTGTCCATTTCATTGGCTTTCCGCCTTTGTTGACAGTATTACAGGTCACGCAAGGTGTATTTAATTGGCTGTGGTATCCTAAGCCTCAGGTTATTGTTATGATTTCTCAGAGAAATGGCCAGTCAATACCTAATTCAGTCATCAATTATTACACAAAAGAACAACCTGATGAAGCGAATATCAAATAATGTGCGGCAACACCGCAAACAAGCCTTTGATTAAAGCTCTAGCACTGAATAATGTGGGCGATTGAATTCCGCAAAGTGATTTTCCAAGAAAGGCCAACTGGAGAATGTTTCTCTCAGTGCGCACACAAACTTCCTTAGGTTGCCCGGTCGAAGCCAATTTGCCGTGCTTGGAGGACGGCGATGCCGTGCTGGATCAATACAGCTTCTCAGCCAACAATTTGACCAGAGATTTATGTGCACTTTGTGGCTTTTACTTGCTCTTCCATTTTCTTGCCTACTTATTTCTGTGGCGCAGAACAAAGAAATAGCCCACCAATTGTGTTCATCTTCAATCACAATGGCCCAGCAAACACTTCAGCAACACTCATCGATTGCAAACAGCGTCAGTGGAAATCTCATCGAATATTTGCGGTGTTACGTTTTAATTACGCGGCGACACGAGTTCGAATCTCACCTTTTGTAATGAGGAATAAATTCTGGTGTAAATTTATCGGGTTTCTCTCTGGCCGTTTGGGGCAAAAATGACGATGGTTTATGGCGTGTTGAGAGGGAGGAAAGCACATGTGAGAGCTCCATCTTCCATTGGTGTGACCTTTCCCTGTCGCCCTGTGCCCGGAGTTTACCTGGCGCCAAGGGGGAGATAATACGCTCTCTATCTGTACACCACTTGCAGCATTTCAGACAATATTTCAAGAAATTATCACAAGAAATCCACTTAAAACTGCCTTTTCAAGCATCTCTTCTGACCATAACCTCAAAAATATCACTCAGAGATCTTAAAAGACTCCAATTGGATGCTTTCTAGATGATAAAATCATCTTCACAACTCAAAAAGTGGTCTAAATAAACATTTTTCCAAACCACAATACTCTTTTTTGAGGTTATGTCCGACTTTAACACAATTTGCAGTGTTTTGCATTGTTTATTGCATGAAAATACTTAATTCTGCCAGTGATTAGTAATTTTGTCAGCTTTAGCTTAAGAATTGATGGGTTAGAATGCAAATTATTCACTTAATCCGTCTGTGAATCGTAACATAACCTAGAAAAGGATTATTTCTTTGCGTAGTTTGAAGGAAATCCAAAGAAATGGGACAAATTGTCGATAAAAGGAGCACTCAATTGTAAGTTTTTGGACACTTTCACTTCTTAAGTACTTCTGCTGAGCTGTACACCACTTCTGGACTGTATTATCTCTCCCTTGAGTCATAACATAACCTAGAAAGATGTGAAAAACAATTCTATTTCTCTAATTTGAGGTTTTTTCTTTTAAAAATATCTCTTGAACGCACGATTAGAGGGAAGTGTTAAGTCACTTCCACTTCCAAGTACTTCCACAGAATTGTACACCACTTCTGGCCGTAGTATCTCCCCCTTGCGTGGCGCTTTAATGGAGCGATATTGTGTGTGCCTGCTGAATCCATAATCCCCACGGCCACCCACCCTGAGCACATTCTTTGCCCTCACCACCCCCATTCCCACCCCACATCCCTTCGCCTTGGTACATACTGCATGAGTTGCTCACTAAGGTGATGTTTCATTAAAATAGATTAGCCGCTCTGGGATGATTCTGGCTTTTTAATGAAATTTCTGATTAAGTACGCCACTGTTGTGCCACTGTTGCCAGAGTGAGCTCTCTGCTAGCGGAATAGCGTCGGTTTTCCACCATTTCCACTGCCCGGGACTATATATGTAATTTCCATGCTTTTTCGGCACAGTGTCGACGCGCGAAGCCACAGGAGAAAAATTCCTTCACACCGACGACATTATTAAGCGAAAATGACATCCGGACTAGAATCAAAATTAATTTGAAATAACTCCACATTTTAACTAGGTTTCCACACACACACACACCGCAGCCCCAGAGTTAATATAATCCCGTGTCCTCGCGTCGCAACACTGTGCGCATACTAACAGCTATATATGCGACCCACTTTCCACCCACTGCGATGGTGGAAAATGTTTATTCAGACCGAGAGACACAAAAGCTATAATGACATTAACAATAATATTATTTACTGTCACAGTGAGCGCAAAGTGTTTGGAATTCTACTATTTCGCTTTAATTAAAATTTATGTGAAATCATAATTGATCGCTTAACACATGAGATGCCCGGAATTTAATGCCCAAAATGGTCTACATGTTCCAATTTGATGTTTTGCAATCTGACAATTTACTCGAAAAGCACCAAAAACTCGCATTTTCAATCATTTTCTGCATCCCAGCGAGCCAGGAAGCTTGAAAAAGCAGATATTTTAGCTAAAAAGTGCTAATATGAAGTATAAAATGGAAAAATTTATGCTTTTCGTGGCTAAATATTTTGCTTAATGAAGTGTCATGATTTTGCATTAAGCGACATCTACAGTAGCGAAAATTAAGTTAGGACACTCATGAAATTTAGGCCAATTTTCCTTTTGATGCTAAAAATTCGATATTTCCTTCAATTTTAGAGACATTTACCTTAAGACATAAAATAATTAGAATTTAATAGTCTCTCAAATGGCGTTGAAATCATGGCGATATCTCAATTCGGGGCTGAGATATTGCAAAATACAGAAAAATGTGAGTAAAAGGATAGCGAAAATTGAGTTAAAACACTGTTTATAATCATATTTGAGTGTCTTATCAGTAATTTGACTATTAGCTGCTGTTATAGCTTAAATCTTAGCATCAAGATGCTAAAAAAATAAGCATTTTACAGCATTTTCTCTTCGCTGGACTTCGCAATCATACAAATTATTACAAAAAAACACACAGAAACGATGCGTTTTAAATCATCTTCTCTGTGTGGAATCAATTAATCGAGATCTTTTCAATTCTGTCTCGTGGCATAAAATATAAATCTGTGCTGGAAGTAATTTGCATCCGTTCACGGTGTTTGTGATGCGAAACCCGAGGACAATTCCCAACTATTAGGCGAACAAAAGCATAGGCAGCATATTGTCTCCTTCGGCAGCCTCATATTCGATCACCACACTGTATGCAAAATCAATTAATCCATCAATTTGGCTTTTATTGCATCAACAGGCGACATCCTTTCATTTAGCAAAATTAATTTCATTTGCCGCCCACCCTCGTCGACTTTGTTTATAAATGTACACTTTGTCCCATCACTTTGCCCACAAATTTCCTGGCTTCGGGATGTCCTGTGTTGACTTATTATGCCACGCTCGGTGTCTCCCTATCTCTTATCATCTCGGCCACAAGTTTTCGGGGCTGAGAATTGAATTTCTTTTGAGGTCAACCCAGTGAAGAATGTGCGACAAATACTGCTGAGGGTTGAGTGAAAGGCAACTTTCCACCACTAAATTACCAGTGCAAAAGGGTAGCGAGGGAGACAGAGAGATCCTCCAATTACTAAATTGATTAGTCATTTACATACAATTTATTTCTTGTATGTCTGCTTTACATATTTACATCATCAATACCCACTGGAATGACAAGCATTTTCCCCCATCGGCGAAGGAGCTTTTTTCCGCCTCCACATACATAATTTATCACTCTGCGGTTGTACATAAGTTCCCGGTGAATTAACACTGTTGGTTTGACTGATGCTCAGTAAATTCACTATGCGCCTATTTGTGAGCATAAATATGGGAAAAATACAGGGCAATTTTCCCTTACGAGCTATTTTTTGACAGTTTCTTGTTATATTTTTTTCCCAATTTTTTCATCACTAAATTCTATGATTTAATGAAACTTTTTAAAGAATATTTTGTCTACAGGATAGAAAGAAAATGGGATTGCAAGGAGTCTATTTTGTATGGGAATCAATGGTTATGTTTTCAACAGTTATTCATGTAATTTCGAGGTGGAAATCTTATCCGAGTCACTAAAATAAACAAATAGAGAATATTTGCTATTCTTTGAATGCGATAAATGCTCTCAAAATGTTGGAATTTATATCGAAATTTCGACTTGAAAATCATTGACGCAAGATTTGCTTCTTGAACCAGGAAAACAGAGAAAATCATCCAGTATCAAAATCAGCTCTTGTTCTAGAGAAAAATTGGGGAAAATAGATTTTCTCTTCGGAACCACAAACAGTGGCAAAGTTAAGCATCTGTTCGAGCGTTTTTCATGACACATTTTACGGAGAGAAATTGAAGATTCTTGCGTTTAAAAGCATTTAGAGGTAATAAATAGAATATTTTCGGGTGCTTTTTGTCCTCTATGTCACTTAAAGTTATGAAAAAGTGGGAAAATCGATTGTGTGCACGCCGAATTGATTAAAATATCGAGTTTTGGTCACAAAATTTGAACATCTTGCAATCAATCTCCTGAATAATTACCACAAAAATGGTAGGAAAGCTTTCGGAGCTTTGAGAATATGAAAAATTACCCAGAATTTTAATTTTTCACTCACAAAAACACATTTTATTTCAGTGTAGTGAAATAAGCACAGACAAGTCGTTATATCTTGCACAATTGATCAAAATTCCTGGGAAAAAGGGTGTAATTAAATGCCATAAGCGTCTGTATAGCGAGGAGAAAAAAAATTATGAATAAATCGCATAACGATTTCGTAAGCAACTTCTCCATAATGCTGAAGTACACGCAAGCGAGCGAGAGAGTTGTTCATAAATTGACAAGTGTAGGTACTTTTGTGTGTTCTGTGAGAGATATTCGAAAGCCCTTTTCTTATGCTCTGGGTATGGAAATGTGACGCAAAAAGTTCACTTTCTCCGGGCGGGGGTTGAAATTGTGCTCTTCAAAGGCATATTACACCGCCACAGCATGAATGCCTGGCGGGAATTCTCCACTTTGCAGTCCTCTGAATGAGACTTCTCTGGAGCCAATTTCCCTCCACGATTTTGACACTTTATCGAAAATCTATATTATTAATACTACGTGTATATGTGATAAAGTTACCAGTGAAAGCCATTTTCATGGGGGGATTCGCGTTTGGGGTGTACTAAAATTCTGCCACCTCGTCCTCAATTTCTAAGACGCTCGCGCGAGGCGCTCTTTTAAAATTACCCCTTTTATGGCGTCGCACACATGCCATTAAAATGCGGAACGAAGCTGGGGGGGTGGAATTATTTTATTTCACGCGCCACTGGTTGGAAGCCATGCGATAATTGTTGGCAATATTGATAAGAGATTTACGATGTGTATCATAGAGTGTCACAATCACTAAATTGATCACTTCACAACTCATATGCCAACAATTGCCATCACAGAATAACCCTCATTTTACGACCCTTCGCTCTCCATTTGGCGCTACATCTGGAACACTTGGCTGAAAATGTATTAATTGCAATTGATATTTTTCCCACACACACAGACACATTGTGCCAGAGGACGATTATGTTGGCAATTGATTGCGTTTTATGATAAAGTTGAGAAGCAAAGCGCTCGACAATATCGCAGAATATTTTATAGACAATGGCTCTTGTCGCGATTTAATGGAGAAAAGTAAGGATTCCATGTGACTTATTAATAAATCGCGCAAAGGTTTTTCCTTTCTTAATTTCATATTCTGCTGCTACGCATGTAAAACGTAATGAATGACAGGTAAAAACACGGAAATAGAACAAGTATAAAATGTGAATGGAAATGGCTTACCCGCTGTGAGCTTCTCCAGTTCGCCGTCTTTTTCCCACCCCCTCGGCTCGCCACCCTGTGAGTTGATATAAATTGTAAATTGATTTTTGGCGTCACCTGATGGAAATTTGTCGGTTACTCAACACACACACACACGCTGTCGTTCAGTGAAAGTGCAAAAAGGAAACTCGCTCTCTGTGCGTCGGTGGCGAAGGAAGCGAGTGGAGAAATGAGAAAAGAAAATAGAAGTGCTCTCTCTCTGGGTAGGAAAAGGCATTTGGGGGGGGGGGGGGAAGGCAAGTTGAAAAGTGGATATTACAAGGGAAAATGCCAGCACATGCAGCTAGAGAAAAGCAGTTGTCCAAATAGGGGAATTGTTGGGAGCCAAGAGAAGTGATTCAAATAATATGGCATCGTATAAAATACGACTTGGATGTGATGATTATTTGGGTTGTGTGTGGGGCGAATGGGGTGGGGGTGAGGGGGATGAAAAGCAAATACATAATCTAATATTGTGTTTCATTTCTATTTTTCGGTCTGACACACACCAACATTCTGTTGATTGAACTCTTTCTATCCGCTTGAACTCTCATTTCGGGGGGGAAAATGCTTGGAAAAATACTCGATTTCGTAAAAGTAATAACTTGCGACAATGAAATCTTTTTCATTATCGCCGTCTTGACTTGAGAATAAATATTTAGTTTCACAGAGAAATAATTAAGAGGTGATTGAGAAAAAGTTTACCACGAAATCAAACATGTTTGCGTGGTCAATTGACGATCCAAACACTCTTTCTCATTTCCCTGATTAAATGTCCTTCCACGTGTAGCCGGAAAATGTCCTTACGATCTCCTGAAGTCGCGTGTCGTTCACATAGATAAAAAAATGAAAATCGACAGAGAATTATCCTGAAGACAGCTCGGATTTATTTAGACTTCATTAAAAACCTAATTTCTAATCTATCTATCTAAGAACCCAAAACCAAGGAGGAGATAATATGTCTTGAATCTGTCCACCAATTCCTGACATTTCCACAGTTTCTGTGTAGAATCTTTAACACTTCAGACACTTCTTAACGTCTTTTAAGGCATTTTCTATCGTTTCATAAACTCCTTCACAATCAAATCTAGGTTTTTTCCACTATAAAGAAATATTCTTCTAGGCTGAAATGACATTTTTGAGGTTATGTTTGCCTTTTAAGCTATTTCCTAACTAATTTGGAGTTTTTTCCGAGCGAAAATGCTCAAATCAGCCACAAAAAGAGAAAAATTCTCAGTTTAACACAAATTATATGATTTTAAGGGTTATTTTATGCCCAAAATCTATTTTAAATTAAACTTAACTTAAAAAACCGATTAAATTGATTTTTCTGAACAGAAGCTTTTGCAATACAAATATTCTAAACATTTTTCCAATTCCAATCCAAAAAAGGGATAAAGGACTTAACCGAATGGCTTCAAAATCGGCATGATATTTAGTCATTAATGAGGGAAGATTGGTGGAAAAATTCAGATCTCTAGCTTCACGTGGAAATTCGTGGCACATCGATATGTCACAGATCAATGAGATTCATTAAAATACAATTTCTATATCAATTGCAAGAGAATATCCTCAAATTCCCCACCGAAAGATTGAATCATCGCTACACGTATAATGCTATGGCAGAGCTTTTCTCCCGCTGACAATATCCTGGGACTCCTTGGGAGCAAAAAGTGATACCAGCAGAGCGACCGAGCTATACCTTCACGTACTGAATGTGTCAAAACTTGTAACGATTCGCTTCTGGTCACCCAAGTTGAGAACATTCACTTTCCCATATTATATATCTATTTGGGCGCGATTCGTATGTAATAGAGGAGCCGAGAGAGTGTATGTGGTCACGTATGCATGGTATATAAAATGGGCGAGTATATTGTAAAATGTAGAAAGCCGGACCTTAAGTCAGGCGGAAGGAATATGGCGTGGAATAAATGGGAATGGAGAGGCGATGGGGCTGAGAAATCGGAGGGAAAACCAGAAAAGTAAGTCACACAGAAGAGGACCAGAGCCGTAAGAATATCGGGGACACAGTTACAACATTTATATGGAATGCCAAGAATATTTTTAGGACAAGTTATCTCCTTGTTCTCCTCAGACTCCTCGGCACAGCGGGACACCATGAAAATGTGTACTGCCAGTGGGGTGGGGGGATGGGGAACGAGGAAAATCAAATAGGAATAGAAGACGGGAAAAAAGTATTTTCTTTCGTTTTATTATACAATTGTAGACAGAAGAAAAATGGTTTTCTCCACCCCTTCAACTCCATGGGCATTTTTTCTTCTTTTTTTTTCGTTTTTTGAAATGTATATTCCTTCGTGGGCTTTTAACTAATCGAATGCAGTGATCTCGAATGGAAAGCATTTTTCCTCTGCTAACTCCAAAGCCAATGGAGAAATCAATTTATATATAGAATGCATCGAGATGAAGATGAGAATTATTCACTTGGCTACAGTTTTCGCCCCAGAGAAATAAAGTGGAAAGTTTCACTGTAGCAGAAATTATTACTTCTTACTTCAACTGGAAAATTACTTAATTCTTTCCCGTGCAGAACAAACAAAATACTTTGTTATATTTCTATTGACAGAGCGAGAGAGAAAGAGAGAAGAGTTCTGTTTGAATATTGAGGATAATAACTTGGCAAAATCATACTTCCTGATTACAACGAGAGAGAGAGAAAAAAGCGTCCTGCAATGTCGAGACAACGGGAGAATGAAAGGGATTACGCGAGATTCAATTTTTCCTCGTGCCAGAGGATAATGGAAATGCATGTGAAATATATAAAAGATATAAGAAGGAAAAAGGGAGACATTATGGCGCCACAAAAGCCGGAAAATACGCTATTTTATCACTCACTCTGCCAAGCCATGTTAACTGAAAGATTAAAGAGAACAAGAGCCGCAGTTGTCAATTGAGAAAAGAAAAATATATATTACGCTTCACTGCGAGAGAGAGAAAATTAAACGACTTTTTTCCCCATCTATATATATAAATTTATATATATATGTAATCATTTAATAGTTGTAAATTTTCAAACGAGAAATGTGGGGAACTTCTTTGTGGGAGCGCGCAAAGAGCTCGAAAATGAACTTTTCTGCACAACATTTCTCTCTCGCCTCAAGTCCCATGATGATTACAAAGTTTTTATATTTTCGCAGGGACAAACGGTGCAGCACAACCACAAAGCCGGTGTGATAATGAGCAGCAGTGATTTGGCTCTGCAAGGGATTACGAGGCATCAGGCCGGAAATTACACATGTATCGCCTCGAACGTCGAGGGCGACGGCGAGAGCAATGTTGTCGAGCTGCGAGTTATGTGTAAGTAAAATCACCATCACACGCCTTGCACTGCGCAAAGTGTCGCGCACAGCACAATATCTCTTCATTTCCCATAATTAAGTACACTAAGAATTCCCCTCAAACGCCACACACTTTGTGGACAATTTTTCACTTGACTAAGTAAATAAATTCCCATCCTTTTTCTCATGTGATCCGACAGAATAAATTTTCCAAGTGGATCGAGAGGGAAAATACACATGTCCCATTTTCTCACTGACACCGTGAATTTCCCCTCGGAGGATCCAATAAAATAAAATCTATTAACACAATCACAAATAAAGGAAAATTCGCATTGATATATTTCACTGTAAGCCCACCATTATCCTCTTTTCCGGATGTCAAGCAACACACTTTCGCCTCCTTGTTTTCCTTCCCCAAAATCTTACGTGCTCCTCCGCTGCACAAGCCTAAAAACCCCATCATGTTGCGGTGTGAGAGGCTCAAGCACTCTGCAGAGTGCTGCCGCAGGAGAATTGAGTGCAGAAAGCGTTGTGCGAAACACAATAGAATCTCTTCATTGGCATTTGATGCACCACAAAAACTATACCAACAACCCAATCATGCCAATTTGAAATGTTGAATGTTGGAGCAATTCTCAGTAACGCACAGTCATATGTTAAGCTTGAAACATGTAAAAGTTTAACATTCGAAATGAATAAAGAAAACAGTCTTTGTTATTCTCACTAAAACAATGTGTTAGAGTTTCAAGCAACACCAGAATGTTTAGGAGAAGATAAATTATGAAATTTGGCAGAATTATTAAAAATTTCAGTTCATAATTAATAAATCCACGATAAAAAGATTCTACTGTAAACATAATTCATGTTCATGCTTGAAAATTAAAGCCACAATTGCAGATTGATTCATATTTGTGAGATATTTGCAGATTAAGATCTGTCACTCTGCTTTTTACACATTCCACATTTTTTAAAAGAACCTCTGGAGGTCGTGTTAAAATTGCACATTTCAAGCACATGTTAGCCAAAATAGCAAATAACACACGTAGTAAAATTTAGTTAGTCTGTAAGACCAATATTCTATGGCGTCACGAGTCCTAATCTTAAGGCAAAGCTCAATCTTACTCCGTCTAATCAATGAAATTAATGAATTTTTAACACAAATGGTAAATATTTCAGACTCAGAATAGCAAAGGCGTGTGTTAAACCAATATAACAGAATTTTAACATATTTTGTGTGACTCAGAATTGCTCCATGATTCGCAAAATATCACTTTCCACGCGATCCAGCGCGAGTTCGTGGCAATTCGCGAGGAAGGGGAGAGGAACAAAGTATTCAATTCCGCAACTTTGGTGGCACTTCTCGAAGCTCCCTTTGAGCCCGAGGAGGCCGGAGAGAGATTGTGGTGGAAGTAAAAAATCACCCCCTCAGAATTCTATTTGGCAGCGGAAAAGAAGCGCACACGAACAAAGGGAAATAATGCAGATGGTGAGAAAATAAAAATCTCCGATTTCACAGCCAAGCGCAAACAGACAGTGGGAGTCGATAATGCCTGTTTATGTAAACCACACCGAAATACTGTGCGAACAGCTCTTGTGCAGCGCTGGTGTTTAATGAACGCGCCGGGGATCTCCGGAAAACTTATAAAAGCTTTTCCTCGTTGTGCATCGTGAGGCGAGGAAGTAAACTACAGACAGCACTCACATCGCAACTCTCAAGAAAACTCATATATGGCACTTGGAGATGCCGTACGTGGAAATGAGATGTGAAAGAATTGCGAACAGATTTGAATTCCTCCTTCTGCACGAGGTGTCGCCACGTATTAAAGTGATTTTTTTCTCCCCGCCGGAAATCCCCCTTTTCGCAAATTGTCCCGGAGGGTGTGAGACACTGCCGCCGGGGTTGGGGTGAGATATTAGTCGGAGGAAAGTGCGCCGTTGGGGGCGCATCGACTGTCGGAATTTCGACGCTTTTTGCTCAGCAGAAAACACAAAACATCCCTCTCTCTCTCTGTCAGATTGACAAGCAAAGTGGTCGTTTAACGATCTTTTTTTTCAATTTCCACCGATGAAAAACTCTCAACGGATATTTTTCATTTAGTAAAAATTGTGTCATAATTGGATATTCATAAATCATTTTCCATATTCATTCTGTCTCGTTTATTTTGTATTCGTCAAGCATATTTCACTTCGCCCAGCTGAATATCCTTTGACTAACATATATACAAGGGGCAGATAATATTCAGACACTTCTGAACACCTTAAAAAGGCTTTTTCCATCGCTTTTTAGCCTCCTTCGACTGTTTCTCACACTCATTTGCCTTGAGAAAGTGCTTAGAAAAATTCTAAACAAATTGTGAGGTTATAAATCCGGTTAAAAAATCATTGTTGGACTAATTTTGATCCTTTCAAACCACAAATGAGAAAATATAGAAAATATTTCAATGTTTTTACTAGACAATGAGGGTAAATTTGGCACTTTTCAGCACAAATTTTGCATAAAATGTAATTTTCGAGGTTATGATTGACTTTTAAGCTTTGTTTTCAATGAAAATGAAGATTTTTCGAACAAAAATGCTCAATTTTACTAAGAAAAAGAAAAATATTCTCAGATTAAACACAAATTTCATGATCTTTAGGTTTAATATATCCTAGAAAAGCAATAAAATCGATTTTTCTAAGCAAAATTTGTTGAGAAACAAGCTTTTGCACCACTTTTGGTCAAAGTATTTCCCCCTTTGTTCATTTATAATGAACACGATAAATGCAAAAAAGGAACAATTAATTTTCAACAAGATAATTACTCATTTTCCACTTAAAAAGCGCTAAACATAAACGATATGATCTTCATCAAGCAAACCACTTGGCGAAAGTGATTGTAAATCTGAAAAAAAATCCCGCTTTGATGCACTTTTTTCAGCAATGTTCTCTTGGAAACATAAAATAAAATGAAATATATGCTGTGCTAATGACAGCTTTTCACCACAATATTTTCACCCCCTTCCTTGTTTTCTGCATTATATGATAGAATACATATTTTTCAAGTGGAAAATTTAATTGGCTGAAATATTTAAAAACCAGCTAAAAAAAAAGTTTGCAAAATTTCATTAAATTATAGACGAGACAAAACCATTTTTCGCTCAGTGAGCGATGATATTTTTTTCCCCACTGGTGGGGAAATACACTGCAAATCACTGTCCATGGAGAGATGGTGAAAAACATTGAAATCTCGTTTTTCACATCGTTTGTGTGTTTATATGTGAAATTGAAACTTTGTTGCAAAACTAATTAATCGCATAGAGTGCAAAAGTTTCCACCCTCTCTCTCTCTCAACCCCAAAAAGCACCCTGCGGAACAGACTCTGCCATCCGAACTCCTCGCAAAATGCCTTCATTTGAATTCTAACATCAAGTCAGAGTGCATAAATATACGTCATGTACATAGCATTACATATTGTGCCATATATTTTCAGCATAATGCTCTAGAGCAACACTAAATAATTTGAGTTGAGGGGTCAAAAAACTAATTAAAATAGTGTACAATGGCGGAGTGAATAAAGTTTTGCCCTCTATCTCTCGCCCGCCCCCTCGACTTTCGACCCCAGCAATGTTATTGATTCTCCCCCGCCCCCCCGAGTGGGCGTTATTAAATTTATTCATTGAATCATCCCTTCAGTCCGTTCACTGTTCTGCGAAATTAGTGGCAAATATTTAGAAGTATCGGTCGATGCTGCTCACACAAATGCCCCTCGCCACCCCCAAATTCAGGGGTGGGGAGAGGAATTCCCCCCTCCCCCACCGCCGCAATGCTCGAAAGTTGTGGGCGGAAGAGGAGGGGCGGGGAAAAGTTTCTCAAAATGGGTGGAATAGGAAGTAAATTTCAAATCATTTACTTACATTTCCACTCTATATGTTTGAAAGTCAATACACACAATTTCTCAAGTGCTTCTCAAAAAGTTAAAAGTTACCTTCCCTCATCAGCTTTTTCGCTGGTGGAGCATTTGAGATTAAGCTTTTATAGCAATACAGAATTTCTGATAAACACACAAACTTTTGCCTCAACAGCTTTCTTTTGCGCCACTTTTTTTTCTCTCTCTTTCTCTCCCTCAACTTGATCTTTTCGCCTTTTGGACCACTCAATATGGGGTGTGATTTTAAAGGATTGTGCAACTTTTCAGTCAAGAGGAAAATTGGCAGAAAAATAGGAACATTCAGTGGTGCAATATTGACTAACAATTATTGAGCTAATTAAGCAACTTTCTATCTTCGCACGTGTAGTTAAAATTTTAGCAAATAACGCCTCTGTGTTTTCCCTCATTAAACACACAAAATGTGTACCAATTTTGTGTCCTTCCCAATTTGTGAGGCGGAAGAGGAGCAAATATAAGAAAATATAATTCATGTGATGCTTTTTTCTTCGTCTTCTCTCCACTGAGAAACGTTGATTTTACAATAAAAACCGGTCAACGATACTCATGAAGATTTTATTAAAGTGATTGCGTGTATTTTGTGGGTCCGGCATTAAATTTTTTATGGTGGATGTTGTATTTATGGACATTTCATTCTACTGCCAACACACATATGGAATTTTCCTTCCATGCGGGTGTCACCCGAAAGAAGGTGGCAAAGGCAAAAGAAGTTGGGATAAATCAGAGGGGTGTCTTAAAATTTTACGACTTGAACAGTGTCGAAGATGTTTGTCCGCCTCCCCGCCCAGAAAACGTGTGCAAAAGTCTCTGATTTCGACCCCGTAAATGAAGTCATTGGATTTTTTGGGGGTTTATTCACATCTTCGGCCTCGATCTTGGCCCTTTTTTCGCCCCGCCACTGATTGGCCAAATACATAAAGTCACCCCGGCGGAATTATCGGGGGAAAAGGTGTGCATTGGGTCAATGTTATTGTTTATTCAATACGTTATTTTATTGTCGCAAATCTCACCCCAGGATTCACATGATGGACAAATTTCCGACGGGTGCCTAGAAAACTATCAGAAGTCAAAATTGCCATTCATCCCCCAAAAAA